CATGTATTAACGGTGTTTGCAAAAGTGGCATTTATGGAAATGGCATGTGTAAACGTAGGTCTTGCCGCCGAGGATTTAGCGGTGTTGACTGCGAAAGACGACTTGTTGAGTGTAGTGGTAAACGAGCTCTTTGTCATGTCTATACCGTCTGTGCATCTGACGGAAGCGTGAGGTAAGTTTATTAACTGATTACTTAATATGCAATTCGAAATGTTTTCTTCCATTAATAAGATGCCACGAATATTATTAATATAAGTAGTATGTAAGAATTAAAATTAATTATAACCAATTGTCTGGGAGAACAATTTTTTAATTTCCTTTATTATGGCTGATGCTAACCTCCAGGAGAATGACTCATTACGCCTTCTTGGGCTAACGTTTTCCGCTGATATGAAGTAGAAGGAAAAGTATATTGAATCAATTGCTAAGTCTGCAGCACAATTTTTCCCACCAGAAAAACGTACATATTTATAATTCTGTCATTCGTCCTTGCTTTGAATATTGCTGTCATATATTGTCTGTTGCTCCTGTTAAATATTTATTCTTGATAAAATCTCAAAAAGAAACATTCGTTCTCTTTATATCTCTCGTCTTTTCACTTCCCCAAAGAAAGGATTCGTATTACTATGCTCTTTTTTCCCTTGTAATATAGTGAGTAAAACAGAAACCATTGATCTAAGTAATGATGCAGCATCAGAGTCGCTCCTGGGGAATTGCCGTTAGACCATTAGAAAGCAGAGAAGTCACACGATACAATAGTTTGATGAAAAGACTGGTGCGGAACAAACATTTTAAATCATTCTTACCTCGATCTGGGGCTATGCTGATAAGCTTAGTAAATATATGTAATGATGGTTTATTTTTTCGTTCATTTTACATTTCAGTTGTGAATGTCTGCCTGGATATGAAGGAAACGGAATCACGTGCACAGAAGTCAACCCTTGCAAAAAACCAAATCGCGGAGATTGTCACGAACAGGTTAGTGAAGCTGCCAAAAACCATTTACAGCACATAAATTCGCCATGTATATTCAGTCTCCAAGATTTATTGATTTGAAGACGTAGACAGATTTTCACGCACACACACACACACACTACACACACAAACATATATATATATATATATATATATATATATATATATATATATATATACATGATGATAGACTCTTCCGTCGTTTTCGACGTATGAGTGTCTTTCAGTTCATTTTTTTATGTTTATGTTTTGTATAAGACAACAATCCTGCTCGGGATTTGCAAACAAATCCACACGAAGGGCATACTGAAGGGTTGATCGTCATATGGGGCTGATGTATAAGCCCAAGATTTAATGTTAATTCTTAATTCTCTCAGATGGCTGATACGATTCTTTTCAAAGTTAGTTATCTCTAATTATCAGGTATTTCTCCAGCCTGCTCGATTTTCAACAGCAACTTCGAACTCCTCTATAGGGATGTTTGCAGCAATTAAGTTGTATTTAAGTTTATCCTTGAAGCGTAACCAAGAACGACCTACGTTACGCTTACCATGAAAAAGTCGGCTATAGATGAAGATTTTCGGCATCCGATCATCACTCATTCTGATCATATAAATTATTCATATATCTCATTTATATATATATATATATATATATATATATATATATATATATATATATATATTAATAATACTAATAATAAGTATACATTTTTTCATGCACAACTCAATCTTATTGATTTAAAGCTCGGCTCTCCAACTTCCAATTCCAAGCTATTATTTATTACACTACTCGCACATCCAAATTTACAGCATCTGGCTTCCCAAGCGGTCACCTATCTAGACACTGACCAGGCTCGACTTTGCTTAACTTCGGTGATCATACGGCAACAACATGTTTCCATATATGGTTATAAGCCGATAATACCACCTGTGAATCCACGCTTACAGCACCTGGTATTCCAAAGCGATCGCTCATCTGGGTACTGACACGGGTCGACGTTGCTTAACCGGTATTTCAACATAACATGGCCGAAAGCCCATTATGCTACATGCACATCCAAGTTTACAGCAACTGGTATTCTTAAGTGGTTATCCATCTAGTTACTGGCCAGGCTCAGTTTTGCTTAACTTCGGTGATCGAACGCGATCTAGTGTTTCAACGCAATAAATAACGATAGAGTAACAAGAGACATTGCGACGTGGTATCTGTGGGGAAAGGGTTGCATGACGGAAAAGAAAAGATCCCCAATGGGACCTTTGTCCTGATGCTCCTTATTTACATCATTCAACCCAAGTGGTTTTTAGAATTAGTAGGGAAATAAAGGATTTTATCGCTTTAAACGTTATTTTTAGTGAATACCGATATTTGAATAGACGCTCCGCAGTATAGTTACTGTTGTAATCTCGGGAAGGTTACTGAATAGAATAATCACACAAAGGTTGGTAATGAACGATAATACTTAGGACAAGAACAACGCATATAAGATTCGTCAGCGGCGCGTAGTAGTCAACAGCTAGAAGTGAGTCAAGTGAATTCCACACTGAATCTCCAACTGCAGGATATCTACCAACCGCCCCACGCGGTCAGATGTGGCACGAGGCCGAATTTAATGTGGGACTTGCGAGCCCGTCGGCTCGGCCAAAAATTCCCGTAGACCTCGTATAAAAGGTTGTCGGGTAGCTGTTTCGACAGAGCCTCGTCTGGGGATCCTCTCTGCACAACTTCAGATCAACGTACAGTATTTACTACTGTATTTATGTGAATGTGGACATACCCATTATCGTCCGTGGGTATGCTAGAACATTTGTTTTCGTCAACCGGCCTGAATAATCAAGTAATTTTATTAAAGAAAAAGATGTGATCCCCGCCGTTAAATCCGATGTGCTTTAGACCTACTCGGCCACGAAGAGACGCACCGACCAAATATGGGTATCCGCTAAAAATAACATTTAATGTGATAAAATAATTGGCATTGTATGATTGTTCCTGTCCCATGGTATATGCTTTTTAAGCCATCTTCATGCATTCATTTATGATTCGTTTTATCGTCTCATTTATTGATTTTACATAAAATAGCATTTCTGATTTTTCTGTTTTTTTCTGTTTTGCTTTGAAGCAGTTTGCGTTGACGGTGTAAAGGAATTAATTTCTATTATCAGATGTCCTCTGCTTAACCATGTCCATAATTATCTGCTATAGTTTCAATAATGAATTTATTTAATAATGACAGTTATTAATTTCATTTGTAATTAAATTTTATTCTAATTCTTGCTGTTATTGTGTATTTAAAGGCGACGTGTACGTACACTGAACCCGGTAAAAACAAGTGTACTTGCAATACCGGGTGGACAGGTGATGGCACATATTGTTACCCGGCTCAGTTTTGTATCTTGAAAACTGAATGCGATACAAATGCTGTGTGTAAAAATACAGGACCAGGTGGGGTGAGTATTACCGCGTAAGAATGAAGATATTTATAAACTTATTAAAACATTTATCTTCCATTATGGTTGTTGATGCTAATTGTTACTTGTATAGATATAAATTAGCTTAAACTCTAATTTATTCTAACTAAATGACAGGGACTGTCTTCTTAATACAATAATTAAGGCATGAACTATAATCTATCAGAATATTATAGAGTCCGTTATTTGGATGATAAGCAGATTAGTCCAACGGTAAAACACCTAATAATTTGATATAAGGTTGATATTTGATAAGAAGATACATATATATATATATATATATATATATATATATATATATATATATATATATATATATATATATATATATATATATAGAGAGAGAGAGAGAGATAGGAAATAATAGTATAGAGATCTATATAAAACAAATAGAATACTTCTTCAACTAACTCTAAACCTATCAATCTTTTATATTGCAACCAAATGCATTCTAATTATAAACAAGATGAAAATATCCTAAAAAAATTAAAAACTAAGTTATTCACCACAGATCCTAGTAAAAAAAATATATATTAATTTTATAGCATACTAAATTTGCTATATCTAATACAATCATTCGTAATGACTCTTCCCCGCCCACTAAAGTGTTGCAGGAAAACCAACATTGTTTATAAAATTAAATGTCCTCTGGGAGATTGTATCTCCTACTGTAAAAATAATATTTATGTTGGAGACACTAAAACAACGTTGTCTCAGCGGCTAAGTATTCATTTTAATAATATGTCTAACGTTTCTAAACATTTACAACATATCTGTCCACATTCGCAACTCAGAAAAATCCTTGATGAAAATACCTCTGTAATTTTTCACCAAAAGAATAAACATAAACTAAAAATTCTCGAAGCTATCTATATTAAAAAAATTGAAACCAAACCTTAATGAAATTAAACATGAATACTCCACAAATATTTTAAAATGTGTATAATAGATAAGTTGAAATGTCAAGGTTTACAATAATATTTTCTCTTTCTAATACTTATATCGTGAAAAAACTCTCCAAAGCTTACTTAGTTGTCTCCCTTACACGATTTCAGCGGTCACGCATTGGCACAGTGTTCCTCACTCCATTTGAAAGAAATTTAACTTTCAGATGACACAACAATTTGTCTCTGACAATAATGGATACTATAATATTTATTTTATTATAAACGATACCCTATTGATGACATGGATATGTCGAAAGTACTTGGTAATAAAATATGTATAAACACGGCGATTTTCTCTCGTCTTTCAGTAATGACATCAAAAAACTTATCCGAGAGTATGAAAAGATCTTATCGAAAATGAGTGGACAGAAGCTAAGCTGTACAACAAAACATGTCTTAATAAAAATATACGTATATATATATATATATATATATATATATATATATATATATATATATATTTATGTGTGTGTGTGTGTGTGTGTGTGTATGTACATTGAGGTCAACACCGAGCGGTAACAGTCTGTTTCATTCTTAAGCACAATCTTCAGGCAGTGTCCGAATATTGTTTAAGCATGGAACGGACTATCGCCGAGGAGCGTTGATCTCAATGTACTTTAATAAATATATAAATAAATATATCATATCTTAAAACTATATTTTATCATATATATATATATATATATATAGATAGATAGATAGATAGATAGATAGATAGATAGATAGATAGATAGATATGTGTGCGTGTGTATGGAATCCCGTTAAAGAATTGTAGAAAAATACAATGGATTTTAGTGGTACCAATTCTGTACAAACTAGGCTCACACAGAAATGAAATCATTTTTGTACACGGCCGGCTCCCAAAATTTGAATTTCTATATTCATATTTATTAGCCAATCAGCGACATCATATGAGACGCGCGGTAGTCTTTGAATTTACAGACGTCTTCTCTACTTTTTATTCGCTGCCGACTGATACAAAATTATACGCATACATAAAACAACGTAATTATGTGGCAAACACTTTCTCACATGCAGACGTATTCTGTCTCTTCTATACTAACACAATTGATTCGGTTGTTTCGTAAAGCCTACAACGTAAAAAATATTTGTGTGAAGTTCTTTCGCAAAGAATCTTTGTAATTCATTTCTTTCAATTTGAAAAAAAATTTAATATTCTATAATAAAATAAAAATATAGTACAATAAATATTTATTTAAATTTGTAGAGGCTTTTTGAAGATTGTTTATTTCTTCATTTTATCCACGCATATTCCCCTCTATCTCTCTCTCTCTCTCTCTCTCTCTCTCTCTCTCTCTCTCTATCTCTATATATATATATATATATATATATATATATAACAAGAAAACAAATAGGCAGTCAGACACTTTCTGATTGTTTTGGACATCCGACGTGATAAGGTAATTTGATTTACAGTCTCCTTACGTATTTTTTCTTACATACAGTTTTGTCCTTCTTTCATATATATATATATATATATATATATATACGAAGAGAGAGAGAGAGAGATTATAAACTCCTCATTTCGCCTTTTTTAAATAACACTTAGTTTTTCTTTCTTATTTCAGTTTATCTGCGTGTGTAAGAAAGGCTTCCGTGGGAATGGAAAGCAATGTCAAGCAGAGAATCCTTGCCTGATTAACAATGGTGGCTGTGATCCGAGGGTAAGTCAGACGATAACTTAGGAAGGGAAACCATGAAACCATGAAACCATGGGTGCATTATGTAGGCGTGGCATATACTCCTCTTCTTACACACACACACACACGCACACACACACACACACACTACTAGAATGCGTTGAAGTATCAAGTTGGGAAACATCAAAGATCTGGGTTGAAAGGAATATGCCATGAAGAATGGTAACAATAATCGCTGCTTGAAGCGTCAAAAAAATAAAAAAACATTTGGGAGCTGATCTTGACAAACAGCTGTGAAGCAACTAAATATTAATTAGAAATTACTCGATTGTTACGGATCCTTTTTTTGTGATACTCATTATTCTTATTTCTAAAGTAATTTGTAATATAAAACAATTGATCTGGATAAAAATTCTTTTCATTCCTTGCATTTGAAAATTTCATAGCGTTCTTCTCATTTATTGTTTGAAATGATCCTTCTTTTTGTTCGTTACGGATATTTATTTGACTTATATATATATATATATATATATATATATTGGAGGAAACATCTATGACAAAGTTTACAAAGTTTTCATGTGTCGCGTTTCGTTCCTAAATTTTTGACATTTTTCATACATCTTTCCTCTAAAGTTGTTCTTGATATATAAAATTTACATATCATTATCATATATATATATATATATATATATATATATATATATATATATATATATATGTGTGTATTCAGAGTCTATCAAAAATACTTTAGAAACGTTGGTGGCGGGTTCCTGAAACTAAAACGATGACAAAAGTCCATATAAACATATGTCCACAAATCGTTTGTTTTTGAGTTATATAGTTTAAAGAAAGTTTGCGGTACATGGCGCTGTGTTGCCATGTAAAGTAGGTTACATTTGTGAAAATTATTTTTGATGCACTCCGTATATATATACTGTTGGGGCGCACCCACCTTCTGAGGAGAATGGACTGATCTCTCTACGATATAGGTCAGTGCTAGAGAGATCAGGGGAGTTCACGAGATCTGTTCATCGCGTTCTGTGGAGATCACGAGAACATTGCACTTCAGTCTCTCGACCGGAAGATACCGTTGGACTGTCGACTCTTGCTAATTTGTTATTACTAACCTGCGTTCGTTATTACTAATTACTCTGTTGTTAAATACCTCTTCAAATATACCAGTATTTTTCCCTACATCTGTGTTTGTCTTTATTTGAATACACACACGCGGGAACATTCCCAACATCTCAACATATATATATATATATATATATATATATATATATATATGTGTGTGTGTGTGTGTGTGTGTGTGAAAAAGAAGCTGAAAGTGCAGCTTGAGTGTTTAAATATTTATTTGGAGTAAATTTACAGGTTTTACTGTTCTTTGATTTTCAAAAGTTAAATTGAGATGAAGAGACGCCATGATCGTTTTCACACATTTCATTT